TAATCTCTATGATTTCTTCCTTCTGTTGTCTCAGGTGAATTTGTATCTGGCTTCATTCATTTTCGAGTGTTCAATCGTGAGAAAGCAGTCATGGCTCTCTGTGCTGGGGTGAAAGTCACTGGATGCAACACAGAACATGTGAGTATCCTGGCTACAGGTTCTCGACCTCTGCCAGGGATGATTCTAAAACCTCTTGTCAACAATAGCTATGCTCTGTAACACCTGTTAGTTGGACTCCAAATGGTCAGGCAGTCACCAAAACAAGCTGAGGCCAAACCTCTGCTGCTCAACAGAAACATCTGAACATAAGAACATAAGAGGAGCCATGCTGGATCAGGCCAATGGCCCATCCAGTCCAACACTCTGTCACACAGTGGCCAAAACCCAGGTGCCATCAGGAGGTAACACCAGCAGGGTCAGAATTCCAGAAGCCCTCCCACTGTTGCCCCCTCCAAGCACCAAGAATACAGAGCATCACTGTCTCAGACATAGTGTTCCATCTATATCTTGTGGCTAATAGCCACTCATGGACCTCTGCTCCATATGTTTATCCAATCCCTTCTTGAAGCTGTCTACGTTTGGAATCCCCGCCATTTCCTCCAACAGTGAATTCCACATGTTAATTACTCCTTGGGTGAAGGACTTCCTTTTATCTGTTCTAACCTACTGCTCATTAATTTCATTGAGTGCCGACGAGTTCTTGCATTGTGGGAAAGGGGGGAAAGTACTGTCTAGTATTTGGTTTATTAATACATTCCAAAACAGCGCACAACTTTTAACAGTCAAATTAACACACTGGTGCTCTCTGCTACTGACATAATATACCTCTAGTCCCTATTTTATATGTATTTGCAATTGTGTGGCTAGGCGGGATACAAATCGAAATCATAAATAAAAATTAATTAATTAATTAATTAATTAATTAAAATGTGCTGGATTTTAAATTTGTCCCTCACTGCCCAGTTCTAATACATCCTCTGTAGGGTTGCCAGCTGCTCCCAATTTGTGTCATTTGTTTTACATTTCCTTCCTGTCCTTAGCACTGCATTGGTGGAGGAGGCTATTTTGCAGAAGGGGATCCTCGCCAGTGTGGGGACTTCACTGCCTTTGACTGGAATGGCTATGGGACACACGCTCACTGGAGCGCTTCTAAAGAGCTAGTTGAATCAGCTGTACTGCTCTTTTACCGTTGATGGATGGCTTTGTAGAAACAGGAGTACCAGAGGTACAGCCTTGAGAATGAAAATCTATCCTGTATGCATATATATCATCAATGGAATAAAAAATAATAATTAAAAACTAAACTGAGCTGTTGTGCAGTTTGTTTTTCTGAGGATGCTTCCAGGTAAAGGATTTCAGCGGTCCTTGTTACACTAGAACAATAGGCCAGATATACACACTCACTACAGAGGCTGTGATGGTCCTAGCTCATTTCACTTAAGAACATCTCTCAAAGGTGCGTCTAGTCCAGCATCCAGTTCCCTACGGTGGACAGCCAGACTTCTCAAGTAGAAATGTCCATTTGGAAAAATGCTAATCAAAATCCAAAGCAACAACCAGGGGCAGTCTTAGGCACAGGTCCGCTGCCCCAAGCTAGGGGGCCTGAACAACAGGAAGACAGCTGCCCTGGCCACCCCTAACCACTCTAGAGGCTTCTCAGGCAGCCGCCATGGCAGCAAGAGAACAAGCCAGCCATCCAGGCCAACCACTGCGGCAGCAAGCAAGCAAACTGGCCACCCAGGTCAGCAGCAACAGCAAGCGACTACGAGCAAGCCAGTCATCTGGGCCAGCTGCTACTAGGGCTGTCAGTCTCCAGGTGGTGGCTGAAAATCTCCTGGTATTACAACTGGTCTCTGGATAGGGTTGCCAGCTCTGGGTTGGGAGATACCTGGAGATTTTGGGAGTGGAGCCCAGGGAGGGGAGGGTTTGGGGAGGGGAGGGACCTCTGTTGTATATAAACGCCATGGAGTCCATCCTGCAAAGCAGCCATTTTCTCCAGGAGAACTGATCTTGATGGTCTGGGCAGGAATTGTAATAGCAGGCGATCTCCAGGTGCCACCTGGAGGTTGGCAACCCTGTCTCCAGACAAGAGATCAGTTCCCCTGGAGAAAATGGCTGCTTTGGAAGATGGAGTCTATGGTATTATATCCCACTGAGTCCCGCCCCTCCTCAAACCCTCCCCTCCCCAGGCTCCACCCCTCAAGTCTCCAGGAATTTCCCAACCTAGAGCTGGCAACCACCAGCTGTTAGGCCAGCAGCCTTGGTGAGCCTTCTTCCCTTTCCCCACTTTGTTGGGGGAGGGGCAAGAGGCGGAGCCCTTTCCAGGGATGTTTTTTCCTCCCAGTTGAGTACACCCTTGTCAAGGCCTAGTGGGAGGAGGAGGAGGAGGAAGAAGAGTTGGATTTATTCCCCACCCTTGCAGCTTACAATCTCCTTCCCTTCCTCTCCTCCTCTCCACGCAACAGACATCCTGTGTGGTAGGTGGGGCTGAGAGTGGGGTTTCCCCTGATCTTGGGGGCTCCAATCCACCCTCTGCCAGCTGGCTGGCAGGGGAAGCCCCACCCCCCAAGCCATGGCTTTCCCTCTCCCAGCGAACGCAGCGAGTGGGGTGGCGGCATGTGGGCCTGAATCCCAAGCCCACCCCTGGAATGCCCCCCAACCCCCCTGCCGGATTGACGAGGGGACCTGGCAACCCTAGCTGAGAGAGCTCTGAGAGAACTTTGACTGACACAAGGCCACCCAGCTGCCTGCATGTGGAGGAGTGGGGAATCAAACCCAGTTCTCCAGATTAGAGTCCGCCGCTCTTAACTACTACACCAAACTGGGAGGAGGAGAAATCAGTCTCCCGCATGCACACTCCAGTCCAACTCTTTGTCCCCGGCAGTTTCTCCACCTCCAGTGGTGCTACAGAGGCATGACATGGTTTGGCAGAGGTCATTTCGGGGGGGATCGCGGGGGATCGCAGTTCCCCCGGGTGAGGTGTGGGGGGCGGGGCACATGACGAAGCCCAACCCCCTGCTTCTGGCCGCCCCGCTTCCGGCCCTCATTCAGCCAGGAGGAGGCAGGAGAAGAGGGAGGGTGTGTTGCTCCCCCCCCGCCTCTCCCCACCCCTGCCTGCCTGGGGCCGGGGAGGGCCTTGGCGGGGCTTCCTCGCACTCCCGCCGGCCTTGCAGGTCCACCGCCGAGCCTTATGATGTCAGGGGGTGTGGTATATGCTCCAGAGGCCATTGCACAGAATTGCCGCACACATGGGAAACTGCAGCTGCTGACCACGGCTCGCCTGTGGGTTTCTAAGCTCATACTGTGGTTTGGTATGCTACGGTTAGTGCAAAAACCTTAGCTTAGTATGAACTGAGCCACGTGCTGGATCAGTACTTAGACAATTAAGACAAGTCTTCTGTGAGAATATCCAGCCCTCCTGATGAGAGTTGTTATGGAAATACAGACTGCAGGATCCTAAGTGGCGAGAGGATCATTTTTGTAATCTTGGGAGAGAAAGCAAGTCCAGCTCTGTTCGCTGCCCTCCTGCCCTGTGTGTGTCAACAATTTCTGGCCACTCTGAGCTCCCTGCTCTGATTTGTTTACCCGTGCTCCAAGGTCAATTTGGCTGTGGCAGAGACAGAGAGAGGGACAGACACAACCGATCGGGCCTTTCGTCCTCTTTAAGCCGTAGCACAGAGGAAGGTAAGCTGTTGATCAGGTATGCTGGGAATATTCCTCTATACCCCTATACCTTCCCCTGCTGTGCCATAATTGTGCTGTATCAACGAAGCTGCAGGGTTTCCCCAAAATGGATGTTAGTCTCCCATGCACAGAACAGGTATCTGAGAAGGGATTCTTTGCCAAGGCTGATAATTTCAGATGCTTAATTTTCAGCAGCACAATAAACCAGGAATTCAGTGGCACCTTAAAGACAAATCATGGAACCAATTAGTCTTTAAAATACCACTGTTTTATCCTGTTAAGGCAGAGGAAACTATAGTTGCACACCAACATGACGCTCCTATCCAGATGAAAGGGTAGTCTTGCCATTCACAAAGCAAACTCCTGCCTAGCTATATGCAGGCCAGGGTCACCTCTGGTTTTTGCAGGCCGTCGACAAAAGAGATCTTCCTCCTGAATGGGGCAGCAGTATAAGGAGACAGAAGCCAGCAAGTGGGTCGTCATCATGGCAAGGAAAGATCTGGCAACAGAGCTGCAACTAAAGCCGTTTTCCTGCTGGCAGGGACGTGGGTTCTCAGTGGCTGTAGCATAAGGAACGGCAAGGCAAATAAAGGTTTGCTCTTTCTGGTCCTGCGCCCCGTGGGTATTTTTCAGGAGGTGGAAAAGCCCATTGGAAAAAGCCAGCAGCCATCACTAGATGGGGTTTAGTGGTGGGGGTAGAGCAGTGACAAGAATGCATGCCAATCGCACGTTACCCCTGCCAGTGTGTGGCCTCAGTAGTTTCCCAGTGATGCTGACCTTTCCTACCAAGCCTATATGTTTCTGTCCAGCATTTGGAAAGCTGGCAGGAGTTTTTGTCAAGTTTTGAATATATTTCTCTGAGCTTCTTCCTGTCCCTCGCACCCCGATATTTTCAGAGGTCAGATGTATATTTTTTTCAAAACATTGATGACCCTTCTGCTTCTTCAAATAGAGTAAAGAAACATTGCCGGGGAGGAGGGTGGTATGCACAGGCTTATACCCTGGAATAAAGTCTGCAACTATCTCTGTAAGACCACAGCTTTGCAGATTTAAGTGCTGGATCCTCATCTTTGTTCTTCTCAGTTTGTCACTGAACTCGTATTAACCATAGTGAATAATCGCGCCCAAGAGTTTAAAATGTTTAATTCTGTCAAGTGAAATTCAGTTTTTCAATACTTTTCAATTAGGACATGCAGAAGGTTTAAAGTGTATAAACCTGAGCTTGCTAAGCAAGTGGCCTGTGTTTATGTGTGAGCATTTCAGCGTGGGCAGAGAAGTTCTTACATAACAGATCTTGGCTTTTACAGCTCAGGAAAATGAGGGAATTCATGGTCATCCTGCTGTGTGTGATTGTGTTCCCAAAAGGCCAATGGTGTGGTAAGTGTGCATGTGCTCTTTTGGGAAAAACAGTTGTTAGATTTGCAGTAACTCTACACACCTGGACAAATATATAGACCTCAATCTTGTTCCCCTTTAAAATGAGGTGGTATTTGACAGCTGCATGGGATCTGAGGAAGGAAACCAAATTCATGGGCTCTTTTGCCCAAATCCAAACTGGATGTGTGCTTAGGCTTGTCAACTCAGGGATGGAAAATATCTTGAGATTTTGGGGGTAGAACCTGAGGATGGCAGGGTTTGGGGAGGGACGTAAACATAATGAGTTATAATAGCATAGAGTCCACCCTCCAAAGAAGGCATTTTCTCCAGGGGAACCAATCTCTGATGTCAGGAGATCAGTTGTAATTCTGTCCATCTTGAGAATGGCAACCCTCTTTATGGTTAACTTTGTGTTGCTAGGAGTACCTTTAACTAGATAATACACATCTTCCTACTTGTTAAACATACGACAGGTGTGTGTGGTGTGGTTACTTTTCCTATGAGGGCTTTACCTGTGTTCCACTCTGTCCACCCTCTTCCAAAGAGGTCTAAAAGGATCTCTCCAAACAAATTAGTCAACACAATGAGGTTCAACATAAGTTTATGCAAAGTGATGCAAACTGGGATCGAAAACCAACCTTAACTATTTACATGTAAGTTGACTGAGTCTGAATTGGTGATAAATAGCCAAGCAAGGTTTCTTGGGGTTATAATAGGATTGCCATAGTGGGGATGCAGCTAGGCACTGCATGGCATCATGTAACACTGCAATGTCAATTCCAGTCCTGTAAAAGGAGCTGTCTCCTGTCCCTGGGACGCTAGCAAATCCCCAAATTCTATGGCTTTACCACAGAGTTTTGGAGGATTGCTAAAGTGTAAAAACAGAAAGGGGAAAAAAACAATCTTAAGAAACAACAAGATTGGGTACCCAAACATAGGGTGGTAGGAAAAAAAGAGAAATATATTAAACAAAATATATGTATTTATTACAAAGTGAACAATGTTTAAAAACATTGGCACAATCCGTAATCTGTCATTTAAAGGTTGATACATATATGTATACTCTGAGAGTTCTGAAAGCCATGGTCAGAAGTATTAAACCTGCATTACATGGATGTGACTGCTTAAACGTTTAAGAAAACCCTCACACAACCCAATTCTTTTGCCACATGGGAGATTTGGAATGCCTTATAATCAACCCAACCTGCCTTGGCACTAACACATGTTTATATGTCATAGTGTGCATGTGTATACAAAAATATGACCACTGAGGAAGGCCTTGGAAGCCGAAACATGTTTGGTCCTGTTTTAATGTGGTTGAAGGTTATCAAGTTAGATATATTGAATTATTGGTCCCGTTTTATTGGTTGAAGGCTTTTAACCAATTGAAATGTATCAGGTTATATAGATTCAGGACGTCTTAGTTCAAATACCACTTCAAGGGCAGATGGTGCCAATGTTTTTAAAGTATAGTTTTAGTGCACTTTGTAATAAATACATATTTTATTTCTCAAAAAAAAATCTCTCACCCAACTGGATTGCTAAAGTCTACCAGCATCATGTGATGCTGCTTCCAGTTACATGACTGTATTGTTGCTTTTCCACCCAAATTTATCCTGCTAGACAGGGCATGGGGGGGGGGATCCCATGCAGTAGTGGGAGATCTGGTCCCTCTATGTCATGGAGAACAGCTCAGTGACAATGCCAACTCAGTGTGAAGTAGTCATGAAAAAGCAAATTCTGTCCTAGGGGTTATTAGGAAAGTGTGTGAAAGCAGAATATATAAATCTGCGGTGCAGCTGCACTTGGAATACTGTGTACGGCCCTGACTGCCATATCTTATAAAGGATAAGGGAGAGGGTGCAGAAAAGGGCTGCCAAAATTAAGGGAGTTTCGGGAGGGTGGTCGTGCTGGTCTGCAGTAGAAGAGCTAGATTTGAGTCCGGTAGCACCTGACAGACCAACAAGATTTTCAAGGTACACGCTTTTGAGAGGCAAAGCTCCCTTCATCACATGCAAAGGGAGGTCTGACTCTCAAAAGCTCATCACCCAAAGATCTGGCTGGTCTCTAAGGTGCTACTGGACTCGAATCTAGCAAAATCAGGGAGGTGGAGGGCCACGCGATTTGAGGGGAAAACAAAGAGTTTCCCCCTCAAATTGCGTGGCCCCGCCCCCAGCGTGCGACGTCACTTCCGGGTGACGCGCACGTGGGGGTGGGGTTTCCCCCGGGCCCCGATTCCGGCGCGCCGGTAATCGGAGGTCCGAAGCGGGGGAATCCCCGCCCCCCGGCTGCATTTGGCAGCCCTACCTCGCCATCTGAGCCGGGGTGGGGTGGGGTGGAGGAGACCAAGGGAGTATAAACCAAGGTGTTACAGTTTAGTTTAGGAAAGATTAGGATGGGGGACATGACAGAGATTTATATAATGATCTATGGAACAGAGAAAGTGGACTTTGTCCTTCTTCTCCCATAATAGTAAATAAAACTCAGGGGCACCCAGTCAAGTTTATGGACAGTACAAGAAAGTACTTCTTCACCCACTGTCATGAATGAATGCTTCTTCTCTTTCTTCCCTAATCAATCCTTTCCTTGCAGATAGCAGTGGCTGTGTGACCTCGTTAAAACGGGACATTCTCAGACTGTTGGTCAAGTGGGAAGATGCCACTTGTTTCCAGAACGATCAGGGCCTGCCCTCCCACCTGCTCCAGACCCTGCCTCGAAGCTGCAAGGAAATCAAAACAGAGCTAGAAGGAGCTGCAGGTGGGTGAAACAGAAAAGGACGGGAGACATGTTAGGAGCAATATCTCCAAAAAGAATGAGACAGAATTGTGTGGAAACAATGAGGTGAAGGTCATGTGAAAGTTAATCTGCATTTTGTCCAGGGCTCCCTAAAACTGGAACCAGCCCTGAATGACTGAATGCACCCAATTTAAATTGTCAAAGATTTTCTATTCCTTGGCTCCATCATCAACCAAAAGGGTAATTGTAACCAGGAAGTTAGAAGGAGATTGAGACCTGGAAGGGCAGCCATGAAGGAGCTAGAAAAGACTCTTAAGTGTAAGGATGTGTCACTGGTGACCAAATCAATATAATTCATGCTGTTCCCCATTACTATGTATGGTGTGAAAGCTAGACAATGAAGAAAGCTGAGAGGAAGAAAGTGGATTCATTTGAAATGTGGTGTTGGAGAAGAGTTTTATGGATACTGTGGAGTGCAAATCAAGTCTGAACTCTCCCTAGAAGCTGAAGTGACTAAACTGAGACTGTCATATTTCAGTCACATTATAAGAAGACAAGAGTCACTGCAAAAGACAATAATGCTAATCAAAGTTGAAGTCGGGACTGGAGCATGAACACTTTATATTTCCAGTTCTCCTAAGGGGTTATGGTTGTAGATTATGTCCCCCTCTCCCAAATTTAAATTTTATTGTGTACATAGGCCAAAGCTGCATCAGTTCACTGAAGCAAGACATACTCAACCTGCTAGTGAAATGGGAAGGGACTTCCTACCTTCCAGACCCAACACAGAAGAATCTGTCCCGAAGCTGCAAAGAAATCAAGGAGTCCCAAAAAGAGGCCACAGGTGAGAAATGAAGTTTCTGCCCATCAGAAAGAAACAGCAATGCAGCCTACATTAAAATCCCATTTTAGGACTCTGAAATAATAACACTGATCAATAAACAACAGCACTGAATAACAATATACTACACTGTCTTCATCCTTTCTTTTAACATACAACCTTCTGGGCCTGTGCAGATGGACTGTATTTCCTGCAGACGGAAGATGGCGAGGTCTACCAAAGCTTCTGTGATATGACCACCAGTGGAGGAGGTTGGACTCTGGTGGCCAGTGTCCATGAGAACAACATGCTTGGGAAATGCACTGTGGGGGATCGCTGGTCCAGTCAACAAGGGAACAACCCCAAGTACCCAGAAGGAGATGGAAACTGGTCCAATAACTCCACCTTTGGGTCAGCTGTGGCCTCAACCAGTGATGACTACAAGGTGAGGAATTCTTCCTACATGAGATGAGGATCAGACTAGAGGGAACCATAGACACGATACATCCGTGGTCCCCAACCTTCCTGAGCCCGCAGGCACATTTGGAATTTTGAGAGGGGATGGTGAGCGCCATCCCACAAGGGTTGCCACAGGAGGTGGACCAAATCTAAAATGGGTGCCACACAGATCTGAATGGAAGACCTCCCTCCTCATGCCTTCCAAGGAGAAGGAAAGCCTGAAGAGGAATGAAACCACATACTAACTAAGGAAAGCCCAGGTGCTTCCCAATCCTCCAGTTCCTCTATTGGAAAACACTTTCATTTCAATGAGGGCAGCCAATAACAACAGCCCCACCCACTTTCTGAAAAGTTTGGTGAGCGCCAAAGGAAGTACTGGCAGGCGCCTCTGCACCCACAGGCACAACATTACCTAGGTCATCTCTTTCTCTCCCTCTTCCTCTTCAGCTAAAGCTTGCTAAGTCTGGACTAGATTGCCTTTAAAAGTTTCCAAAGAAGAAGCTTTAAAGCATTCAAATGAAATGGTTTCAGTCAGTGTCACTTCATGCCACGGTAAATCTGCCGAAGCTTTCTTATTATTGTCCCGGTCCCGATCGGGACCTTGCCCCTGAACCCCCGGAAGCCCCGGGAGGAGCAGCCCGGGAGTCCCGACCGAACCCCGCGGCTCCTTACCTGACGGGGAACAGCAGAGGTGCGCGAAGGGCCTCACGGCCCTCCTCCGGTGAAGGGGGGGCGGAGAACGAGGCGGCAGCGAGCGGCGGAGACAGGCGAGCCGCGAAGGAGGTCGACGGCGGTGGAATCGGCGAGCCGCACACAGAAGGAGACGCCGAGGGACGGCAAGACGGCGCGGGACGGCCCAGGGAGTGCGGGCGTGCTCGGGCCCGCCTCCGGTCACACCCACTGCCGAAGCCTGCAGCAGGACCGGAGGACGCCGACCAGGCGGGCGGCCCGCAGCTGGGAGAAGGCGGGCACCGGAGGGGCGGGACGGCGTCTTCCCCTTTGTATGGGGGTGGAGCCGAGGAGCTG